CCTTCAAACATGGTTGGTAAGCAGTCAACCTTCTTTTGAAGAATGCTTCTTTGTCCAAAGGTGTTGCAGTAACATTTGAACTGACTTGAAGAGGGCTGTTTAGAACAACCCAGAGGGAATTCCTTATAAAGGAAATTAACTGTTTCAAAATGTGAATAATTACACCCCTAAATCGACTATGAATTAGAATATGTGTATATCACATTTTCCTAAAATGTTTTGAAAAATTGCCTGTGGAGCAATAAAAAGACAAATCATCATAGATTAAAGATTGAAATATAGTTTCCCAAGACACTTTATTGTTTAACTTAACCGCTTATGCAACAGTGACTAGAGGTAAAATATAATAAATCACGCTCCTAAGTTAACCTTCTGATATTTGATAGAAAACAGATGACAAACCTGAAAATCCCTAAGCAGGGCTTCATGTTTGTGTGGCTTTCTTGGCAATATTCTGTAAATGCTCAGAATCTGCACGAATTGAGTGATAAAGGCAACTCACCTTGTTTATGAAAGAGGACGTTCAGAGCCCCATTCCAGAGATCCAAATTCAGCCACAGTCACTAGTCACCCTAGAGGCAGCTGCTTCCTCAACTGTACTGTTGCATTTCACATCTTTTTTCTTGACTGAAACAATGTTCAGATCATCTCCCTTCTCATCTTTGGCTTGTTTTCTCATCTTTAGTTTGATAGCTAGAACCTCTAGCCTGGAGAACATCAACCTTAAGCACACATCAGAATCTCCTGGTTTGCCTGTTAAAGCAGATTGTTGGACCCCACACTAGCATTTCTCCTTCAGTACGCTTAGGTAAGGGCTGAGAATTTGCATTTCTAATAAGTTCCCTGTTAATGTGTGTGCTGCTAGCCCTAGGACCATATTTTGCACTGCTCTAACTCGCTTCCTCTAACTTATACTTTGGGTTACTTCTAAACCCCTTTTCTATACGGCTTTCCTTACTGAGTTCTGGGCTGCACTGATCTTGCATTAATCTTTTGTTTCTGTTTCCTTAGTTTATTTGCAGTTCCATTCCTCCTGGCTTTGATGTCATTTTATATTCTGCATCCTGGCTTTAGACATGCCATATATTTACCACGTCAAGGGTCACATGTTGGTTAACTCAGAGCAAGCATTAGTAATTTCTGCTACAGAAAATGTTTGTGTTTTCCTCACAAAGATAACTGGGATATATGTGGACAGAGGGAGGTAGGTATGGAGATAGAGAACAAGTTGGTATGAAATTCTTTCATGTAGATATTCAAGGCACCATAAAATCTGAAGGAAGCAGTGATGGAGGATACAATCCTGTTGAAAATGTGGATGCTTGATATCAAGGTTTCTACACAAATATAGATAGCCCTATTATCTTATATAAAAGCACAATCATAATGCTCCAGGGTAGATGAAGTTGAAGACTTTAGCTACAGCTAAGAAAAACTAAGAAGCTGGGTAACAGATAACTCTATTCCTATAATCAACTATCAGCAGGTAGGAGAAAGAGACTCTGGCTTTACAACCAACCAGC